ACAAATTTTGGCAATTGGGTTGGACAGTACGAGACTTAATAATTCAAATAGTGATGAAAATTTGATAAAAAGCATTAACAGGTGAAAATGACTAATATAATATGGCTTTATGTTTCCACGTCCTTGTATTCAACTGATCTTAGTAAGACGTTTTACCAAATGAACTAATCTCAATAAGACATATTCAGTTTTAAGTGCATTTCGTCCTCGCTCAAGATTTACGTCCCAAAAAGAATGAAAGGGAATTGAGTTTTTTTAAAAGGAAAGTGGACACAAGGTTGTATTAATTTTTGAATTTGTTGTGAATTGATAGATAATAGCAAAATGAATAAATAAATAAATAATAATAATAACAACAACAACATAGAGATTTTACGTGGAAACTCAAGACAGGAAAAAATCACGAGTACAGGAGGTGATTTTCACTATAATCAATAATGAATGTTTTTACAAATCAAGATCTTAATACTCTCAATTAAGATCTAAGGCTCTCAAGATATTGTAGAAACAGGTCGTGGGTTATATATATAAACCCTAAAAGACAAGTTGTAGATAAATAGAAATCCAAAAAATGCGTCAAAATTCAAAACAAAGAGGGCTCGAATCGTCTTCGCCACTCGAGCGCTCTACATCACCTTCGCTCGAACGAAATGCTAGCACCAAGCGGGCTTCAGCTCTCTACTCCGTTTTGCACTCCTAATACTTGAGTACCACTGGCGCCCAGCTTGCGATAAAGTGTCGACTGTTTCTCCCCAATCCATAATTTAATTTCTTCAAGACCACATCAACTAAAACTCCAATATACACTAGAATTTGGCTCAAACTATAAAAAATCTCTACTTTAAACCAAATTCCACTACAAGAAATTCCAAATTATCTGTACAAAACAACACTCAACATCTTTCAAACAAGCCTTAATGGGCTACATCAATGACAAATACCAACTAATTTCAATCAGTGCTCAAATTTAGCTAGTGGTAGCAAACGGGCCAAGCGGCCTCGTGAAAAGTCGGGCTCGTCAAATGACTAGCCCGAGCACGAACCGAGCCCGCTCCGGGCGAGCGGCTCGTAGGCCCGTCTTGACGAAGGGTTATTTTTTTAAAAAAAAAAGGTTTATCTTTAAAAAAAAAATACGAGCTCACGAGCCGAGTTTGTTCGTTATAAACGAGCCACGCTCGGCTCGACCCATTGTCATCTCTAAATTTAGCAATGGGAAATGATTTTGTCATTACATCAACCTTACTTACTACAATATCACCACGAGCAATCACATCACACATAAAGTGATACATCACATCAATGTGCTTAGTTATCTCGTTAAACATCTAATCCTTAATCAGAAAGATAGCACTCTGACTATCATAATACACTGTAGAAATCTGCAAGTTTTCACTGATTTTACCAACTAGATCCCTCAACTACATAGCCTCCTTACAAGTCTCTGTAATGGCCATGTACTCTGCCTCTGTAGTAAACAAAGCTATTGTATTCAGCAATGTAGCTTTCCAACTATGGCACAACCTCCAAGGGTAAACACATACCCTATAAGTGATCTCCTCTTATCAAGATTTTTAACATAGTCTAAATTACCCATTGACTCTATCTGCATTTCTACCAAAATGCAAGCAAATATTAGTAGAGCTCCTCAAGTATTCGAATATCCGTTGCACTGCTTTCCAATATTAAATTGAGTTAGTAGGGTGAAAAACCTAATTTCCTTTATCTTCCTCTTCACACACTTCGATTCGATAGTGGTGATTCAATTACAATAGGTGATGGGAGCCAGCGCATTCAATTGAATCAGCGATAGCCCATTTTTTAAGTCAACCTCACACCATGCTACTTCTACGTCTGCGACTACGTCAAATCACCATGGAAGAACACATCTGTGACGAGATCTTTGAACCACCGACAATGCAACAGTGAAGAACATTTTTTTCGGCTTTACCCAAACATAGTTGCATGATTGACAAGGCAGCAATGAAAGACTAAATCGCCCTCACCGTGAAACCACCACCACACTATATCTGATACTCAAGTAGCTGGCATCAAACCAACACTGAATAAAACCTCATGTGTCGAACCACTACACAACTAAAGTAAGTATTTCCGAAGTTGTAATTTTAACTTTGTCAATCCTGCTTATAATGCCTTGTCGCATCCTCTCCATGTTTTGGCATCATTTTTCTCATGAAAATTACCATTTAAGCTGCCATTTGTGAGTATGTATTGGTTTTAGTGTACATTTCTTCCTATAATTTGTTTATGCTTGGATCACTATGTGGGTAATGGTGGAATGGTTTCAGTTTGCATCTTCTTTAATTAGTTTGATTTTCAGTTTGAATTTCTCCTGTAATTAGTTTCAGTTTGAGTTTGCACCACTTTGTATCAGTACGAGTGTAATGGTAGAATGGTTTCAATGAGCATTTGTTCCTGTAATTACCATTTGAGTTTACATTAGTGGTGTGTAATGGTGGAAGAGCTTGTATCATTTTACATTTCTGTCTATATTTAGTTTGTTTTCAATCTCAAGATGAGAGGGGTGAATTTTGGTGTTTGTCACAGTTGTAGAAGCATGGCGCATTATTTTAGAGATTGCCCGAGAAAACTTCGATGCCCCTGGTATCCACATGGAATCAAAAATATTTTCAGGTTGAAAGGAAAATCAATAACAATGGGTGATTATTCAAAACTTGTAATGAAGACTGCGGCTATTTCAATTGGTCAAAAATGAAGAATCAAGCCGCAAATCGAGTACCGTCAATGAAGCGGTGAATGTTGAGGCCAACGAGGAATTCGAAGTTTTGCCAAGCATGTTTGACTCTCTTACTCGAATAGCCGACAAATGAGAGGTTGAGATTTCATTGAATGTAACATTTCTCAAGGGAAAAGTACGTGCGGAGAAGTATGGGAAAGGAAAGGGCCCGACATGGTATGATTAGTAGTTAGTTGTTGAACATGTTATTTGTATTGTGTTCATTTTGTATTTGCTATTAGAAAATGGTATTGATATATGTTAGAGTCATGTTTGAAATTGGTTACGAGATATGTCGGTTTCCTGTGTGAAGTTATGTTGGTTGCTAGTTTTAAGCTAGTTAAAATGAAGTGTGCGTGGACTAATCGTTTTCCCACGCTTCTTCTTACATCACCCCTGTAAAGGTAAACAAAATTAAACTTTATACTCCATAAGAATTCACCTTTAATACCATTGGAATGTAAATGTATGCATAAATAAACTCCATGTTCCACAAGAATTCACCTTTAATACAATACCATTTCTACAAAAACAGATAATACTTTTCCAACACAAAAGCATTTGATGCATAGACCGTGATTTCTGCTCAAAAGTGAAATCAACAAGTTGTTCATCGTAATTATTGTTGGATGCCACTGCTACCCTACATTACGTAACACTTCAAATAAAACTCAAAGCAAATTAAAAGAATTAACTGAAAATATATACCAAAATGATTTAACAAATTACATACCAAAATGAGTTGCAAACATGAGAACGGTGTCAACGATGAACATTGTTGAGATGCCTAAACATTGGGTACAGCCTCTTCCACAGTACTATGTCCACCTCTCGGTCTCTTGCCTTTTCCTGAAATCAAAGTTGCCTGCATGTACATCGAAAATATATGAGAATTTGGATTCGAACTCCATTTTAGTTAATAGGTGAACATAATAAAATATCTTTGCTTTCTTCGAAGTCGACTGACCTCTTCACTGAAGTTTCCTTGGCGCATCCTTCCTTTTCGACGGTACAGAAGCTAGTACGTTGACGTCGGAATGATTTTGAGAATCCGTTCCATGAAAGATTACATGATTGGGATGAGTACCACAACTCGACTTTGTCAACATGAGCTCCTTAGTCTGAACTTTTATCCATTCCATTATCGCACGTGTCTGCACTTCATCATCCGCAGCAAGGTCAACCACCTCCAAAAAAGCATGACATTTTCTTAACTGGAAAACCCACTTCATAAGCATATATTTTGTATAACTTGAAAATTTCTTTTTCATCATTGAACATC